TTCCCTACAACCTCGTTGCATGGAGAGTTTGAAACATGCCATGATATTTTGATAAGTGATGCTTTGTAAGCAAAAACTAAGAAACTATCTTATAAGAAGTGGCAACTCTCACCTAAAACTGATCAGCTCTGGAATATTTCTTGAATGAATAGAAAAAAACCTACCTTCATTAGTCTCACTTTTACAGGGAAATTTTTTCACACAGAGGACTTATTATAAACCTTATCTTTCAAAAAAGCTATCCGTAAAGTGCATGTTTAGCAGAATAATATTGTGATCTCTTATTACTACAAGAATATGTCATGCTATTTTTACAAGTACAAAAGTGTGTTATGAAACTGGAGACCATACACATAGAAGTCAGAGCCTGTAAGTCCTGTGATTATTATTCTAAACATTAGATTACAACCTACTATAGTCAAGCATGTCCATTTTGGTACCTGTGCTCTTTACATTGCTGGCTCCATTAGTTGAAAAGCCAAAAAAACTATTTCTGCGAACTGGAGATGGGAAAGTTTAACTTGTTTATTTAGAGGAAAACGTATTATGACTTATATTTTCCACACTGAAGCAAACTGATAAGCTTTGAAACAGGAAATCCTCTCAAACTAAGAATATGACACGCAATATTTTTCTTATAATGTCACTTTCTTCTTTGGCATATATATAAAGGAATAGCTACTAAAAATGTTGTAAATCTATTGGATGCTTAGAAAGTGTGTTTTCAATTTCCCCCCAAAAAATTATATTAAAGGAAAAAAAAAAGAAACAGCAAAAGAGGTTTAGGATCTCTAGAGGCAGCATTTCAGGAGTTTCAGCCATTCAGAATCTTTCAGAACGTTACAGCAATGAGTCATGAAATGTGGTTGTGAAGTAGCCCGAGGTTCAAGCGTGTTTGAATCCGGTGTTCTTGTTCAGACAATTCTAATAATCAAGGGGGCAATGAGTCCTATAAAAGGCATAATATGAAAATATTGTCATCATCAAAGGAAAAGTGGGTTCCATTCAGAAATAAAATATCTGAATCAGCATTAAGAATGGAGGAACGTGGCTCATCACTCAGCAATACGTAACCCACCAAACATTACTGGAAAAGAAACAAAATGTTGTACCTCATCAGAACATTGTCACAGATGCACTCTTGGGCAAACTGTCAGGAAAGGCATTTCAGATACATAAGTTCACAGGGAAACTGTCTTTCTACTAATTCTCAGAACTTCTCTCTCTGCTTTCTATGACACAGCAAGTTGGAATTATAACGAAATGATGAAGGTGAGCTCTACACCCAGATCATACACAAATACACTCGTGTTCCTATTTTTGTATTGCCACTTAGTGTAAAACTGATTAGAGAAGGGAAAATACTTAAAAACCCCCTACAAATGTGCCTTCTTAATTTCTTACAGAATGGATTTGCTGTGTCTGTGTTTGTATCTCTTTTATGGAATTTGATTTGTTATTTATGTGCATAAGCATTCACCCAATAAGTACCTATTTATTTCCTTATGTCAGTCAGAAATAATACCACGATTTACTAGCTAATTGCAATTATTTAACTCATCTTAAAGAGATGGCAATAAATACTTGCAAAGAATTGTTTGCAATAAATCCAGAGTGAAAAATATAAAAAGACTGACAAATATGAAAAAATGTACATTTGAGGAAACTGATGCTTAAGGAAAAGAGTAAATTCATTGGATGAAATGCAAATAATTTTTTCTTTTAAAGAACTTTTAAAAAGTATATTACCCCAATTTTCTGTCTGCAGCGCTGATATCCAAACCCTCAGAGGTATTTCAATGCATAACTCCAGTTTCAAGGAAGTTAGACACTTAAATAGATGTTCAACATCTCAGCCATTTCTCCTCACCTCTGTAACAACCTCTAGAGCCCCAAGAGAGTGCTATAAGACTTCCTATTTGGGCAGGCATTTAGCAAATAAAGGCAGGCTGAGTTACTATTTCAGGGGTCTCTCTTTTACATGGATTTTCTAGTTCCCGTTTAAGTTGTTCTGTTTTCTTATTACACTCCTGTTGTACAAGTTATTCTGTGCTCTTATTGTAACCTTCCATGACCGTTTTTGGGAAGGATGACATATAAATCAAATAAATACTGTATTTACTCAAATCCAAGAACAGACTTCCCCCCCCAATCACCATAGGGAAAAGACCCCCTCATTTTAGACCTGAGTACCAACCCAGGGCACTCAGTGGCTCAGCTCTGGTTTCAGCCTCAAGCCTGGATGTAGCAGGAGAGCGGGCATGCAGCTAATCCAGCTAAAGTCACCTTGTATTTGGGTAAATATGGCAAATAAGTAAATAAACAAACAGAGGCCTGGGGAAGTATATTATGATACCTGAAAGCTTGCCTATATCTGTCCCAACCACACAGTTGGTCCAATAAAATATATCACTCACAAAAATTTTTACTTCTCTCTCAAATAAATAAATAAATAACCTTAAGGTTTCCATATATTTCCTGATGTGACTCAAAGGGTCATGCTACCAAATGTGTATGTCAGGGAGAAAGAGAAATTCTCTCTAGATTTTTCCTTAACAATTCCTTGGATTTTGTTGCTGTCCCTAAGGAAATGGTCCTCACATTTTTCATGCTGTAGATTACATCCATTAGAGAGATGGTCTCATGAACCACCTTACCTTCCACTGCAATTACTCCCCTTTTTTGATCACATTCTATGCCTGTGACAAGCACAATAATTGTTTTAACCTGTTTTTTAATCACTGTTATTGATTGCATAATAGAGAAAAGAAAACAAATAAACAACTCCAATATAATACTATCCTCCAGAGTAGCAATAGAACACTTGATAATCTTGCAAGGCAATTACTTTATATTGAAAGCAATCCTTTCTGCAGGGATATCCACAGAAACAGAGAAGTTCTCTTGGAAACCATTTGATATTTGATATTTACCTAATGTTATTTTCTCCTAATTATCTGGTTGTGAGTAGTGTAGATCTCTCCCCCATAGTATATCTAGTCTGAGCAGAATCAGCTCCCAAAAACTGTAGGAAAACCCAGGGCGCCTGGAGGCATCTTTGAAACCCAGAACATCCATTTTGAAGCCAAAAGCCCTACACTGTTTGCCCCTAACACCTCCCAATCCCTCAGATCCCTCCACTCCCACAAAAAAGATACAAGAGGATATAGCATTGGATAATGGCAAAATATGGAAGAGAATATTACTATAGTCAACTTTCGGAAATGCCAGGAAATCCTATTGGAGTTGCAGTGGGACACTACTGTATTGTTAAGGTCACAGTCCACAGTTTCAGTTCCATCTAACCTAAGGAACAGCTGCATCCTGACAGAACAGCTTTTGTGAGATAGAATGGAAAGAACAGCATACCATAAAGATACTGTTTCAGTTTTCTACGTTTCCTTAGCTGGATCACCTGGTTGCCAAGTCTTCTTGTGAAGATAATCAATGAACCCTTTAAAAGGATGTTACCTTATGTCCTATTGTCTAAAGCACAGATACAGATCATGAATAGTGTGATACGAGTATAACAATATCTATATATAAAGGGCCTAGTCCATTTGTCTGTGTGTCTGTCTGTCCATAACACTCTTTAAGGGTGCTGGGAGTCTGGTGCAGCAGGGAGGGCACAGTGAGGGGCCAGCTGAGGAAAAGTGGGAGCTGGGGTCCTGACTTCTGGGAGAAGGCAATTAGATGCACAGCACCATCAAGATAGTAGCCTCACAGTAGCTGGGAGCCTGGCTCCCGCTTTTCCTCAGCTGGCCTCTCCTTCTGCCCTCCCTGCCACGCTAAGCCCTTGGCGCCCTTGAAGAGCGTTATGGACAGACAGACACACAGGCAGACAGACTAAGCCTTGAGGACCAAGCTACATGAACAAGGTGATTGGACTTGAGGAAACATCAAGAGACCCATGCAAATGAGTCCCAAGAACAGGCAACTGTGAGAAGACATTTAGATGCACAATGCCATCAAGAACACCAACAAGAGGAGGCCTCTGTGAGAAGACAATTAAATACACAATGTAATCAAGAAAGTCAAGAAAATGCCACTGTGAGAAGATAATTAGATGCACAATGCCATCAAGAAAGTCGCCATCAAGAAAGTTGTTGTTGTTGATGGGCAATTTGCTAGTAAAAGTATAATGTGCATTAGATTTTGTATATATTCATCTGAAATCTTATCCAACTGGGCGTTCTTATACTCTCTGTTCTTAAGTATTTCTTTTAGAAAGTATTTATAGCTTAGTCAAACTTGAGTGACAAAACCTCTTCTGGAAATTTAATTTGTCAGCATTCTTTAGATCTCTTCCAGCACAGCTATTTCTAGTACTCTGCGTGGTTTGCTGTAGTGTGAGATTAATAATCAGTTTTTGATGAAAAAGTCTCACACTTCTTCCAAAGTTAGTAGTTTTAACGGTCTGTTCCAACATGTTCTATCAATAGGGAAAGAAGGGAAATAGTTTCCTGTCAACCATGACATAGTGAAAGAACCAGCTGGAAGAAAGATACCAAAAGTGCAATAAGCCCAGAGACCAAAACAGGGCAACTTTTTAGATTATGTTTTCTGGGACCATAAAGCTGGTGAGAGCTGCTAATTTGGCTATGCTGTAGACACACAGCACTGGCATGTGGGGTAATCATTATATAAAACTGTATCTTCTTGTGAAGCACCTGGAGCAAGCCACTTGAATGGAACAACTAAGATAATGTATGCTTAAGACTAGGCAGAAAGAAGAAGAGAGCAGCTTGCTCCCCATTAGCACAAGTTTGGGCCCTGTCTATCTCAAAGAGTAGCAGCTACAAGGACTAAATGTATCTCTTTTCTTCAATTCTTATCCATTTCTCCTTTAACTCTATGTTCCCTTTTCCTTTCTTTTTTCTTCATAGGAAAATAAAGAAAGGAAAAAGGTGAGGCTATGAAGGATATAGTCCTTGTTGTTAAAAAAAAAAAAAAGAGTAGCATTAAAAATCAGTTATTTTGTCTCCTTTGCTTCCTGACAGGAGGTGCCATCATGCTGTACTGACAAAATCCACTTCATCTATCAAAGAGCTCCAAAGGAAGGAGGAAAAATGGAGTGATGCCAGCTGCACAACTGGTACAACAGCCACTTCCCAAGCACCAGGGAGAATTCCTGTTTTGTTTTGTTTTTTATGAAAAGGACTAGAAGAAAGATGGTTAGGAGGGGCCCTACACCATGCTTCCCTCTAAAATACCTGTGGAACACAGATGAGTAAGCAACACGGTGTAGGGTGGGATATGCAGAATGCAAAGGCAGAACATATTAGCAATGCATGGCAATTTAGAAGTTTATTTTCACTTACTAACCAGTATTTTCTGCCTTTCACAGATATCGCTTGTATTCCTGTATTGTAAACTGCTTCCATATGGATTAAAAGGAGGAGTTTGCTAATATAATAAACTACTTGAAAGCACTAAGAAATCAGAGAGCTGGTTTGTCTGAGTTCTCCTCTATGTCTTTTGGGAAAGAGCTCTCATACCAGACAGTGGAATGCCCTGTAGGCTTTTCCATTGTTACAGTGGTGAAAAGGGTTTCTCACACCTGCAAGAACACTTTTTTTTAATTTAAAGGTATAAAAAATTGCTGTCCTTCATAATAAATTTAAAACTACTATGGCTGATGTCTCTGTCATGCTCTCACTTTTGTGGAGATAATAAATGCTCAACCCTGCCTCTCAGTCCACTTTGTCTCACCCAAATGGCTAAGGCAATGACACTCTAATAGGAAAAAGAGACTTCTTTGAGAGCCCTTATTAATATATAAAAGGCTATTGCCCATTTGTCAAATTTTCAAATGCTTTGAACTTCTCTGCCTTGCTGTAATTCCATCGGTTGCAAAAGATTCAGAATCAGATGCATAGCATCCAATTCCTTTATCTGTGCTATTTAGACCAGAGGGGAAAAAACCCATACAAGCAGTGCAGAAGTAGTTCTGTCTGCTTTCACATGGTTATTGTTGCTAGGGTAACCGCTTCCTTGGTAATCCTTGTGTGCAGCGTGTCTATCTCACTTTCCATTATCATTGGCTCTTAGAGAGACAACATCACAGCATGGCATAAGGACAGGGGAAAGGATGAAATTGGTACACCACACTTTCACATACTGTGCGTCCAAATATAAAGGCTTCTTAAATTGCCATAGCAAAAAGCACATAAAGTTATATATTGTTTAATTTTGTGTATTTTTATTTCTGAGAGCAGGAGATTGAAGATTTATGGATCTCTGCAGACTGCACCTAGTAGAGTAACAGAATTGTCAAAAATCAGATCTGTAGTAAAAGCATCCTATCTTTGTATAACATCCTTCATGTCTCAGGGCACTGTCCAATTATGTAACAATTTGAAATGGGCCTCAGTTACAGCCCTGGATCCAAATGCTTCTATGTCACAGGCCCTTTTCTCTATAATGAGCTGAACCAGAACCTCATATCTAACTACTGTGAATTTTGGGAAAGTCTGAATCCAACAGAGGCATAACAGGGTAGTACTACGCCCTAGGCAGAGGCAACAAATGGGGCAGCAATAGCTCCTGGCAGCAGTGGGGCTGTTATTTGTATGAATGCCACCCCCCCCACTCTGCTCAAAATCAGCACCCAAGACTGCTGCCCTAGATGTCTCCCCTTAGTTAGGCTACTAGAATCAAGATTTGGATCTGAACCCCGAGGCTAATTTACAGTAATAATATAGGTCTGTCTTATCTAAACTACTACTAATCACTGGTATTGTGGTTGTCACTAACAATATTTCTCAAGTTGGTATTTGAGGGGTTTAAATAAAATCTAAATTTTTTAGGTACGATGCATGTAGCCTACTTCAAGTATCTATATCATAGTCAGATTTTCCAACATCTAGCTTTCTTTAAAGTGTGTTTCAACACCTCATGGCTGCACAGAAACCCTTGCAAATGTGAACTGATACAGCAATGACTTTGTGAACCTAAACACAACTTCAACCAGTACCTGAAGCCCCTCATTAATTTTGTTAATGTATCAATGAAACCAAATATTAAAATACCACAAGAGTTTTATCATATTAAATGTGAAAAAACTTTGTTAATGTAATACAGTGGCTGAGACTTTAAAGACACAACATTTAGAAAATTAAAAACTATATTTTGGGCCCCTTTGCATCTATGTAGTAATCTAATATTGCATATGCTTCTAGTGATAATGTCTTTATTTTGTATGTGCAATATGCCTGAATTAGAATTGTGCCCCATCTGGACCCATGCAGCTGGGAGCTGGGCCTGCACCACCACTGCTTCTCCCACCCCTGCACATCCTAGATGCAGTATGGTATGCTGGGGCTGGGCTGAGGAGGGTGGGGGGACAGGAGTGGGGAGGAGTTGTAGCAGCATGGAAGCAGCTTCCAGCTCCCTGGCCTCAGCGCAGCTACTCTCCACCCCCTCCCCAACCCCACCTCTGCTGGAAGCTGTGCTCACATTGCAACTGGGGAGCAGTGGGAGGAGGAAAAAGAGAAGAAGGAAATGGGGAGAAGCTGCAGCAGTGCAGGCACACCTTTCAGTTCCCTGGCTCTGGAACAGCTCCTTGCTGCTCAGCCCAAGTGGGCACAGGCACAGACACAAGCACATGCAAAGTCCTGCAACTCCGTGGGCTGGATCCATGGGCTACACAACCCAGATCCAGTCCTTAGGCCTTATGTTGCCAAAACCTGTTCTAAGGCAGTAACACTGAGTAGGATCTTACTGTATGTAATTCTACTGATATCAGTGGATCTACCCACAAAGACAGCCACTACTTAATTGAAACAAAAGTGGCAAGGATCTGGGTTTAATGGCTTATTCAGTTTAAAAGCAATTAATTTTCAGACATGCCAAAGTAGAATATATACCAGCCTGAGATAGTTTTACACACACTATATATATTATTGTAATACTTTTCTGTTGAAACGAGTACTTAGGTCTATAACATCCAATTTTAACAGAATGTTAAATTTGGAACTCCAGCATCTTACAGTTCTCAGTAGCATTAAATATACAACAATACCAAGGGGAAAAAAATCACTTTAATGTGGACTGTTGTAATAGATTGTGTTAAAAGTCTCAGTCTTTCTTGAGGCTCCAGAAAAAGAACATCAACAACTTTCATCAGCACCTCTCTCTCCTTTTTCCCTAAGACTAAACTGTTATCTTTGCTTGCCACATGGCATAAGCTAGAATCTGCACTCATTTCATGGTCCCACACTGCTGAAGTCAAGCTATTGACTTTGGTGTGAGCAGGATCAGATCCTTAGATTCCAAGATGATAGGCATCTTTGAAGCGCCTGCACAGGTAATGCAGAATCAATGACAACTGTTTGGAAAAATAACTTTTCTGAGCTTCCATACGGTATTAAAATACACATAACATTAACACTGCTGCGCATTCTCCCATCTAACAGTGAAAGGATGACTCTATGTATGGGTACTTTAGGAAGTGTAAACATACCTTTCCTTTGGTCTATTTGCATTGTTCTGTATCATCTAGACAGAAGTTTGCATACTGCACGTTTCATCTTTTTATCTCCATATGCTTATAAGGAAACCTTCATTATCCCCTTTTCACAAAAGAGGAGCGATGTGACTAAGGTTAAGCAGCCAGTCAGTGGCACAGCCCATGTCTTCTCACTTCCAGGATGTTGAATTGCGGTTTTGGAATCAGTAGTTTCCTCATACCAAGGATGACAATAAGACCACATGAGGAACTGTTAGGTTTTAGTAATCAGGCTTTGTATGTTGCATAGTCTTATGTAAATTGTAATTTGAACAGCAGAACTGAATATTTAAGCAAAAAAGCAGAAGCACTTTATTCAATATGTTCTGCAGACAAGAAATAAAAACCACATTACCTTTCTTCATACCTACCTCTTCATCCTCTACAGCCTCTTGAGCAAAAACAACTTTATCCTTTCTTACATATTACTGGAGGAAAAATCCTGTTGAGAAATATGTTGAAGACATAACCATGGCAACAACAGCACTAGCAACAGTACAGTTACATGTGAATCTTACTGTAACAAAGACTGGGAAAATGCATAAAGCTGTTTTATAGAGTGTAAGGTTCTTGAGATCTGAGAGTGGGGAAACATTATCAACAGACAGTCAGAATCCAATCTGGCTCACACTGAAGGCAATGAGAGTTTTTATTCTGAATCTAAATAATGGGCTATTCACTCAGCCCTAGCCTTTATTAGGGGAAACACTTTCCAGCTACCAGAAGAATACCAGGTATCATGAATATTTTAATTTGACAAAGAAAAAATTGAGTAATTGTTAAGTCCCACATCACAGGTCTTACCATCTATGATTCTGAGAGAGACAAAAAAATAAAAAAAAATGAACATAAATTCTGATCAAGGCCAACAAGGGTGAATGGCTGGGAATGGAGGGTTACAATCTCCACCAGTAAGGCATTTGAGTTTTCTGGCCAGCCAAAGGAAAAATCTTGGTCTTGTCACTCTCCATAGCATTTGAGACACATCTTTCTCTTTCAGGGGGGATCCATACATAACAGTGCCATTTATCAGAAGGCCACATTTCCCTCTCTACCCAAACTTTAAAACCTTTGGCTCTCCTTCCAGTCCATTTCACCTCCAATTACTGAGTTGACTTTCCTCTTCTCAGATCAGATCCTGATGCAGTTCCCTGTCAAACTCCTACTCTCCTGCTATCTTCTGTCACAGGATGATCTAGATGAAATACTGTTCTACTCACAAATTCTGTGCAGGTGAATCTGATGGGAGCATACTCCATTTCTTACCATCTATTTCTTTCTGCTTCTCTAGACTAAATCCACGATTGGCTGAATAGTTCCCTGGCCAGAGGGACATACAGCCCTAGATATCTGGAATGTATTTATAACTCAAGGCAATTTTCCTAGGAAACAGCTTAGCAAAACTTTTATTCCCTGTTGGATGGGAAATAATTCAGGTACCACATTTTCAAAGGCCTGAGCAGTTGGATAATTTTTATTATCTCACAGGTTTGCTCTGCTATTTCACTACTCGCATAATTCTGAGCAAATATTCTAACACGTGATTCTTAATGGCAAAATAAAACGTCTTCATAGTCTGCAAACTTTTATGCTTGATTGGCTAGAGCAATTGATTAATAACTTTTACAGCTAGTTATGAAAATAAGATGATACTACTAGTAAAATTAACACTGCATTTCTAATTCCCTTTCCTCTGAACAATTTGCCCAACAAGCAGTTCTGCACTCCATAATTAAGTTGTTGTACTTTTCAGTTTTAGATTTCAGCTTCAAGTTTAATTTTCAGTAGTCGTAGTGCCTTTCCGATTCATATAATAAACTACATTTATATCTGCTCTGCACTTTGTATATTAATATAATTGTGGATGATAAAATTTTAAATAGACTGTGTTGCTTGTGCTACAAAAAATTAGAACAAGTTAATGATATTTTTTT